GCCAAAGATGTTAGAATTGTGTCGATGTCCCAATATTTCTGGACCTGACTGTATATTTTGTAAAGACAGTGCTGCACAACTGTTGCCAAATGTAATACTGGCTAATTCAAATAACTGTTGAACAGTAACATTATGAAATCTCTGCATTAATTATGGAACTGCCCTTTTTTTTCTTTTGCCATCTCCTTTTGTTCCTGCAGATCCGAGTAAACAGCACCAAGATGATTCGGGTCATCCAAGCTGAAAATGAGGAAAAGCTGAAAGAACTGGATGGATTTAGTTTATGGATCTATATTGGCTTGCTCTTCAAAGAGAAGCTTAATGACACTTACATTAATGTTGATATTTTCAGTAAAGAAACCTGCTTGAAAGTTGAGCTTCTAGACCCACACTCCACATACACCATCAGTGTTACTCGTAGTAAGTTTTCTTTTACTTTAGTTGTTCTCATATTAAGAAATTAACCATATATCATTGCTAAATAAAGTAGATTAAGCTGATTCTGGGAGTTGTAGTGGTTAGGCTTTCTGATTCTGAAGACAAAGAGAGGAATATAAGAATGGTGACAGGTAATGTTATAATGTAAAATCTTTACTAGATATAATGCTGTATATAAGATGGCTAGTAGGAACTGATGCCAGCATCTGCTTAATTGATAAAACATTTTGGAATGAACATAAGTTCTGTTTGTTGAACTTCTCAGAACAAAAATTTGGCTTTATTCAAGGTCACCATTTTCCTAAAATGGAAGAAGGTATGCTTGAATAGACTGCTTCTCTCCCTTAATCCAGTAGCAAGGTTTATGAAAATTAGGCTTGTATGTGATTTCCTGTATGGGAGAGAGTCCTAATCCAGTTTCAGTTCTATGTAATGTCAAGAATAAGACTTGAAATGTGCAATATTTCAGCTTTTTAGAAGATTTTAGGAAGCCATCAAGTTGATGTGATAAGAACACCAATATGGGTGGGACAAAAGTTCCTGGCAGACAACCCAAGAATCCTTAAACCAGCTGGCAATGGCTGCTGAAGAGGCATGCAGTATGATGGGGAAAAACCAGCTGGCCCATTGTGGCATGCTCACACAACTAACTGTAAATTAAATATAAGGAAAAACTTTCTAATGGTAAATTCTATACAAGAGCCAGTTTGGTGTAGTGGTTAAGGCACCAGGCTAGAAACCAGGAGACTGGGAGTTCCAGTCCCACCTTAGGCACAAAACCAGCTGGGTAACCTTGGGCCAGTCACTTTCTCTCTGCCCAAGGAAGGGCAAGCCGCTTCTGAAAATCTTGCCAAGAAAGTTGCAGGGACTAGTCAAGGCAGTTGCCAGGAGTCAACAGTGACTGGAAAGCACTAAAAAAAAGCAAACAAACTATACAGCAGTGGAACAGTCTACTTGTCTGTGGTGATTTGATGGGTTTTTCATCTCTGGAAGTTTTTAAGAAGAGGCTGGACAGCCATGTCTCAAGGATGGTTTCTTTGGTTTTCCTTCACAGAGGGTTGGACTTGATTATCCTTGTGGTCTCTTCCAATTCCACAATTCTGTGATCCTGCAAAATTAGACTTGATTTCTCTTCTGAACATGCTGCTTGGGTCCTGGGAATTTTTTCATGCATTTTTTATTCAGTATTTGTGTCTGAAGAATGTAATTATCCTGGATAGACAAGGAGAGTTGAATACTTTTAGAATTATCACTGACTTTTTATGGTACCTCGGTTCACGAACTTAATTCGTTCCGCGACTC